CACCTGCTCTTGGATCTGCATGGCAATTTCTGTGGTTTGGCCACTGAGGAGGGTTTTACATTATTTTTAAACCTTACCATTAAAAACAAGGAGCTATTTTTCTCTTTTCACTTCTTTTTTTTTTTTTTTTTACAAAAAGCTTGGACAGGACTGATTAACCGTACAGGTGACGAAGCCATGCAGAAAATATTCTCAGGGTTTTACACAGAAAATATCTCCCACAGTAGTTCTGGATACCTCACCCAGCCTCAGCCTCTCATGCAAGAGCCCTTCCCTCAGCTGCCTGCCTGCTGCCTCTCAGAACTGACCTCACAGGAGCCGACTACAGCAGAAGACCACTGGTGCATCTGGTGTGATTCCAGGGGACCTCCATAGCTTCTGCTCTGTGTTTCTGACTCACTTCTCTCTCACTAATTATGGGAATGGAATGGCAGGTGATGTCAAGCCGATAGCTTTTTAATCCACCATTACTATCCCATCTTACATAGGGAGACTAGGCACAGCCATGTCACAGAATCGGGCTGGGTAGGGAAGCAAAGGCTGTGATCTAGTGCTTCCCAGCACTAATACCGGGGATATACCTTATGCTTTGATCATTGCATGCATGACATGAGATGGCATCTCCTATAAATGACCATATCAGAAGTGGAAACATTTATGAAAACACATGAAGTGATATTGAGCTGCTATTGAAGCAGGTTTCTGCAAGTGTTGCCAGCAGTGCAGAGGACAACTCCAGTCCAATGAGGGTAGCTCACAAGTCCTGGTGAAACAATCTTGTATGGTGTGCCTGCTACAGGAGAGTTTGGCCAGGAACCTGGACAAAAAGGAGAATCTTTAAGCCATTGAATATAATTTAAACAGTTTTGGATAGTAGCAAAAGTACGTGAAATGATGCTTAGACAAGCATCCAAAACAGCTTCTGCATAAAAGGGGAGGAGAGACAAAAAAGGGTCCACATGTTTAAATCAGAAAGAAATGCCAGAGCAAAGAATATTTCACACCAAAAGAAATGAAACCCCCCTTTCAATATAACCTACCTATGGCAGGAGCTCGACACCTGGGGAATTTACAGGCCTGCCTTTTACAGGGATATGGAGAGCAGCAATAGTCGAGCAGGTCATTCCTGCCCGGGAGCTGGCAGCAGGGCTGAAATTGGACCCAGTCATTTGCGTCATCATCAAACAATTAGTAACTGCTTCAGGTAACTCGGGCCACCAGCCGGAGCTTTTGAAAACGTCTATGGCCGGATAAGTGCTGTCATATTCCTGATGTCAACACCCAGGGTTTGCAGTGAACTCTGCACCGTCACGTAAGAGCAGCCGGGCTGGCGGAGGAAAACACCCTCCCAAGGTACAGAGCTGCTCTGGCTGATGCAGGACAGATTTGGGGCTGCTCAGAAGGACACGCTGGGCCAACTCGCTTCCCGCCAGCGTGCAAAGGTTGGGCTGTGGTGGGGATTTCCACTGTCAGATGCTTATAAGGACAGGGAATCACATCCACAGATCCAGTGTCCACAGCTTGCTGATGCTCACTTTGGGCAGTAGAAATCATAACACTGGAGGTGCTCTTTTAGCCAGCTTAGTTTTTAGCATTTCACAAATCAAACTTGTTGATAAGCCATTTCTTGAAATGAGGAGAGCAATAATGTAGAGAAATTGGGGCCATTATGGAAAATGCTTTGACATTCTCTGTAATGAGGCATTTTCATGATTCACCCTAGATCCAAAGGGAAACATTTCTATTACATGTTGCAAGTCATCCAATTCAAATAGCATCAGTGAGATGTGACGTGTCTCTGTGCCTCAGCAGCTATCGGTTTTTGATTTCTCCATCATCAGGTAGACAACCAGAAAAAGCCTGACAAACCACTGGCTCTAAGGCAGCCATCCCTGTATCTGCTGCTGTCAACATGAAAGAAACATGCAGACCCCAATTTTAGCCCTACCAAAGAGGCAAGTATTTTTAAATCATATACCTAGGCAATATTTGTCCAACTTAAAAAAAAAAAAAAAAAAAAGAGGCAGGAAAAGATATTATCACCCCTATTTCCCTCAGATGCCCCTTTGGAGAGACTTGGATAAACCAAATCAGAGCTCACCATCTAGATATGGGGAAGTTTAGAGGAGACATTCAGAGGATTTTAGACTTTTAGTGAGGCAGTAACTTACTACATCAGATGCAAAGGCATCACTGTGCATCAAGGACACAGGAGACAGAGGAGCAGGTGAGGCAGGCTAAGGACAGAAGCTCTCAGCAGGCTGAATGCAGCAGAATTGACAAAACAGAGCTCTTCAGATATTGCTTTTTTTGCCCTCAATAACAGAACACCAAATGTTGACTGGCGACTAACTGCAATTCATGTAAAGATTATTTCACTCCAAATTCACAGTTTTCCATTAAAAATTATCATTGGCATTCAGAGATGTTTTGGTGGGAGAGAAGGAACAAAGGATCAACTACCTAGTCCATATGGATAAAAATATCGTTGGAATTACTGCTGTAAATGCATGGAAGAGTTACTCAGTCTCTGGTTTGGGTCTTAAAATTAGATTATTAGATTATTAGTCATCTGATCTCATAAGCAAGATGATCCCGACTTTCACAGTTTTTGGATATCATCTCTAATAGTTTTTAGATCCCAGCATCTGCTGTCTTGTTTACAAACAAAGCCAGGAAAAAATGTTCATAAAATAATAAACAAGGCAAAGGAATACAAATACTATCGAGCTGGAAGGAAAACCAACTACTTAGTAACACCACCATTTTCCAGTAATCTCTTCCAAATTAAAAAAAAAATGTTAATAATGTGGACATATTAATTCCAGATCCCTCATACTTACAACCCTTAGATGTTTTCTGTGGATTAAGTGCATGGCTAATGTAATAGTCTGGAGCCAAGAGGAACTCACACTTACTGTGGTCTGGGCTTAGGTAAATCGTGACTTCCTGATGTTAGACATATCCATCTTCCAAGAACCAGAACATGAAGATAAACTGTTTGGATTTATTGCTTTGTCATGGCTGAATGACACTGTCCTAACAGCCAGACCCAGTTCCAAAAGGCAGCAAAAGTGTAGCAAATAGCCAGGGTGGAGGACTGTGCTGACCAGGCTTGTTGGCCCATAGGGTGCAGGTGCAAGAGCACATTTGACAGATAGAAAGGGCATGATGTAAGGATTCAAAAAGTATTTCTATGCCACACAGGGAAGCTTTAGAGAGAGTAGGGGAAAGAAAGAGAATAGAGAGCTGTTTCACTAAATAATTTGTGCCTTTCTTGAGAGGACCTTGTATCACTGCTCTTCTCTTTCCATCACAAAAGCCTGTGTTTGGGGAACTCAAAATATAAATCTACATTATTTACCATCAAAAGAAAATCTCTCTGCAGGTCAGTGGTAGCACTCATCTGTAAGCACAGTCTCACAAGACTCCATTTGTCTAAACATCACTGCTAACCCCCAGACTTCTTGGAGTAAAGTAACACAATAGCAGCTAATACAAAGGAGGCTGTAAGAATGAAATCCATTGCAGCCTTGCCTTGGTACCTGACACCACTGCACATGCCTGGAGTCACAAATCATGGCATTTACAGTAATATAGAATACCTATACAAGCATAGAGAAATCTCTACTTAGCAGGAAGACTTAACCTGAGTTAATAAGGGGGAAATGCATGCCCATTAGGAAGATGTCTTCAGTAGCAAGTAATGAAATTCATTTGATGCAAATGTAAGCCCCTATTAAGAAATACCAACCAGACATTGCTTGTGCATTTCCAAACCAGCATAGCTATTTTCATTTTCATTTTGCATATATCCCCACAGATTTTCAGATGTTTTCCGCTGCCTGGATTGTACTAGTTGCTACATCCTTGACATCTTGTCTTTTTATGCACTGATTGGTTTAGTGTCATAAGAAGCAGTATGTGCATTCTGCCTCTTCAAGTATCCATTGTCTCTATTTTCCATAAGGAACAAATCCTTATTTACCAGTCAAGCAAACTATCAAGTGAGAAGGATGACTGTCATTCACTCACAATGCTTTTAAATACTTTCCTTGCTCTAAGCCTAGAGCTAAGTTCTTTCTGGGTAAATATTTTTCCATCTAAGAAACCTTTTTTTTCCCATTACAGGGTTATATAAGCTGTTAGCAAACCATGTTTTAGTCAGGAATTAAGCCTTGCTGGAAATGAAGAAGTGCATGAAATTCTGGGAAAAGGAAGTTTTTTCTAATCAGAGAAAAATAACTCAAAATGAAAAAAAAAAAAGAAAGAAAAAAGGGCAAGAGTAGGGGTGGGCAATTGCTTAGCTCAAACTGACTGGAGTTTGACTGAGCATTTGCTGCCTCATCTTCCACTAGATAAGATTGCCTACAGACACCAGAGAAATAGGCCATTGAATTGTTTCTTATCAATTTCATTTTCATAGCTTCTGAGGAGGAGATGGAAGTTAAGGAGGGCAACAAAGTTTTATTGGTTTCCCACACTGGTGGGCAGAGTGGGCAAAGACCTCCAGAGATCCCCACCACCTGCACCCAGCATCAATCATCAGGTACCTAGTAAGAAATAGAAAACAGTGAAAGGAGTGGGAATGGAGCCCACCCAATGCTCCTTTGAAATACACACCACCCACCCAAAAAAGCCATGGGCCCCCAGGCTGAGCTCTGCCAAATGTAAGGCTCCCAGTGGCCAGGGTGCACATTGGTGCCCAGCCAAAGACATGCTCTGCCCCCACAGGCAGTGCTGACCACCACCTTTTCTCTACTTGATGCCACTTGACTTGTTGCTGGAGTTGAAGTTGAGTATTTTCTAGCACTCTTTGTTTCCTAAGGAAGCCAGAAGCACAGCAGTCCAGAAGTTTATATGCTGAAGTGGGGAAAAAAAAACATATCAATACAAGAAACAACCAAACAAAAGATCAGTACAAAAGATAACCAAAAATAGCATGCTATGTCTTCAGGATAGCAAATGCAAAGAATTAAGTTCAAATTGTTACATTTTTCTTCTGCAAATAACAGTTTCTTCCACTTCAGTCCAAAAAGTTTATCAAGCCAGCATATCACACACAGTAGCAGCTCCACCTCAAGAATTAACAAAATAGTTACACGGATACCTGTAAGTGTAGATAAACACTTGCATTAGCCAAGGCACAGGTGGATTGGATTATATTGGATTGTATAACGTTACTTGCTCTTGGTTTCTTTGCCATTCCAGCTGTTAAGCAGAATCCAAATATTTATGTGATTGCATGTTATTTCAGCTAAAGAGCTGTTAGAAACATCCAGCACAGAGCACAGACAGGGCTTATTCATAATTTATATGACAAGTTTTTTACCCCTGGCTGGATCCCACATGCTGCCCATTTGCAAATGCAGACACTGGATATCAGTTTTGCAAACAGATGTGTAGCAAGTTAATAGCATGCAAACTCCTAAGGCTCCTACTTATTTGTTCTGAATGGGCAGAAATGAGCAAGACTTACACGAGGATAAGAATTCATAAAAGGCATTGCTTTGCTTTAAACCAGAACAATTAGGTCAAACCATCTACTCTCTGATAAGTGCATGATCACCCAGAAGCACTGATTTTGACAGTGTGGAAAGAACCTGGGGCAAGATACCATCTAAGTTGTTCAAAACACAGGCTCACTCTGCAAGACACAGCTGGTGCTTGCACAGCTCCTGCAGCCTGTGATTCACTCCAGCTGTGCAGAATTTCATCTCCAACCGAATTATCCTGGCCACCAAATACAACAGTTGTGTGCAGTCAGTGGCAGAGCCAACACAGTGACGTGACCAAATGGCCTGCCATTGCACTGGTCAGGCAGCTCTGGTTTCTGACACAGCTTTATGAAGCCCTAAACTCTCCTGTGCATTGCAGGTTTGCTAGTTTTTCCTGAAAAGCAAAGGAAGGAATGCTGATGAAGCAGTAATCCTGCATCTGGAGTCCATGTGAGAACTGGGGCAAGAGATCTCTAAATCTTTTGAAAGCCAAATAGATAGGATATCCAGCACATTGCCAGGCTGCTCCCTGTCATCCTTCCCAGCCTGCAGTGCTGTGCCTGGAGACATCCAAACTCTCAGCCTCCATGTCAGAGGAGCCCTAAGAAAGATGAGTTTGGCATAGCATCAGTATTACAGGCAGGGAAATACCCAATCTAGCAACAAGAACATCACCCACCTACCAAGAGAAGGATGAATCACCTAGTTCACAAGCGACATGAAACCTGGATTTATTGGTAAATTGTGACAAGTGGGCTGGGTTCTTCATCTCTGAACAGGCTGTGCTGTTCAGGCAAACACCCCCAAACATCATTTGTGATGTGAAGTGCTGGTGCAAAGCTGCTGAGCTCATTGATGGGAAGGAACTGGCTTCCTCAAGTGTGGTTTTACTCTGAAGTAACTGCCTTGAAGAATTACCATTCCTCCGCGGGCTGTGTCCCTGCAGAGTGAGTTAGAGTGTAATAGAGGTCTTGGGTGACTGAGATAAGTTTGCATGGCCAGACACAGGCAACATGCTGAACACACTCTGCATCCTGAGCTCAGAGCTAAGCCACAGCTGAGGAGCAAGACCACCCATCCACCCCAGGGACAGCTTCTTCCTGATGATCTAGGAGGCACAGCTATGTTTCATGGAAGCAGCCTTTCATTTTTGACTGTTTTCTATTTAAAGCTCCTTCTTCTGATGCATCCTGATCCTTTTTATCTTGAGACATTAATCACAAAAGCAGTCACAAACAGCACATTATTGAAATGCAGGAGACCCAATTTCTGCTTCGCACAACACTGGGAAATTAAAATAATTTGTCACCATGATTTCTTAGTAAACTGGATGTTCAGTCCTCAAGTGAGAGATTGTAGCAGGTGTGGAAAACCCTGAGTGTGCCACGTCACGTAACTGAGCTAACATGAAATATAAAATTTCCTCTGAAGCGTCTGGTTTTGGTTCCCTCCAGACCCACATACGTGGTCAGTGGCCTGAAGCAACAGATTGCTATCACCAAAAGGTATTTTGTTAAAAGCCACCTGGAAGAGGAAGGGAAATGCAAGTTCTCTAGTTAGCTTATTTTTTGACTTGGATGTCTGTCTCACTTTTCCCCAGAAGGGGAGGCATTGGGATTCCCCAGCTGGATTTTGCTGTTTAACGCCAGTCTTGCCTGCCCCATTTTTCCCTGAAGGCAGCCAAGCTAACAGAAGAAAAAGACTTGCAAAGCAGAAAAAAACCTGCTTGTTGGAGACCTTGTTTTGCTGCATTGTGCAAATACCTGAAATACTTGGTAAAAAAGTATTCTTTCTTTAAAAGAAAAACCTGACGATTATCCATCAAGGTTCAAGGAAAATTAGTCAACTACTTAATTCTTCATTAAGTTCCTGAACATATTCCAAGGAAATCTACAGACATATGCAGTGTTTTTAATGCAGCCATTATAAAATATTTATGAAATGTAGCCAGTTATGAAAAAGGAGAGCACTACAGGTCTCAAGTCAGTAATCTCTTAAGACAAACTACCACAATCAGGCTGCATCTCAAGAATGTCCTCTTTTATATCTAATTTTAAAATTTTAATTGGAGTTACTTTCCTTTAGAATTTCTGAAAGGAAAAGAAATACTTGAAAGTAGGACATAGGGATGCTCTAAAACAGAGGGAAAAAAGCACTGCTCCAAATTACCTTTAGATCAAGTCATTCTCCTAAACCCAGGTTCAAGCTAAGCCTGGGTTAATACTGAGCTAGCAAGTGCAGCACTCTCTGTGAAATCATTCACTCTCCATTTACATGTCAGGATGAGAAAAATGGGAAAAAACACAAGCCTATGTATGAGGTCAGATCTTCTTAAACAACCAAGAGCTGGGGTTTTTTTATTTTTTTTATCTTCCATCTTGCCTTTCTTTTGTTGAGTGCTGCTTTGGAGTACACGCATTTACATTATCCAGATTTATGGCCCCCACTGGGGCCTCACAAAAACAAATGCAAGCTTTGTCAATTCACAGATGCAGAGGGAAGCCCAAGCCCATGCTTGAGGGCTTTGATCCACCAAGATTCATCAGCAGGCTCCATGGCAGTGCCAGACACAGCTGCTGAGCATGCAGATCTCAGGGCTGGAGAAACATCCCTGCAGGAGGGGCAGTGAGGGCTTTGGCCAGGGTTTGCACACAGTGCTGTGCAGACAGGGGGAAGCCCTGTGAGTCAGAATGGGCACGTTCCCAAGGGCTGCTTGGGGCATTTACAAGTCTAATTCTAAGTGTAGTTTACTCAAGCACGGCCACTAGCAGAGCTGCAGGCGCACCACCCCCTCGTGCTCCACCTTCACATGCCTCGGGCAACCATCCCAGCTCCTGGCCATCTCTTATCCCAGTACACCCGCATCCCCAGGCTCCAACCCAGTGCTTGGAAACGCCTCCACTGTCTGGGACCCAGCCCCATCCCTCACTTTTAGGAGCCAGCAGCTACCCACACAACCCCTTTGCCACCAGCCATGACCCATCTCTTCACTCTGCAAGTGGGGATTAGTGGAAAAGTAAAATGAAATTTGCCCTCATTTTGCACGTGGTGGAAGTGGTGTTGGACCCAGCAGTAAGCACACTGATGGACTTCTCTGAACCACCCACAACCCTTCAACAGGACTCAACCTTGCTGCCACCCTGTCCTCAGCAGGCCAACATTCCCAGAGCTGCCAAACTCTCAGGAGATAGTTCTGTAGTGCTGTACAGAACTGCAGAGAGAGAAAAACATGACCTCGGACCTACTGGTTGAGACAAAGAAAGGCTGACAGTGGTGTGATACCTTGTGCAACGGGGCCACTCTGGGCTGTGAGATGCAAGAGGAGGGGGAGAATCCCAAACCAGCACCAGCACATCTACAGGGGAGGGAGTCATGGTGCTGGAACCAAGTATCTACATCTTCCACCACAAACTGATCTTCATCAAGCACATTTCTGAGTGGGGAGGAAGTATTGGTATAAAACATGCTGGTCACAAAAAAATCACCCTGAAAATTTGGGCAGACTAAGCAGAGTATATTAATCTTTTTCTCCGAAAACCCCATCAATGTCATTGGACAATTTGCTCAGCCCTCCAAATTGTTGCTGACAATTTTGGGTTTTTCATCAGAATTAGTCATGCTGTAAATCGTTACGCTTCAGATGAGAACCACAATCACCAGTTTATCATACATCTAATTAAAACAAACCTAAGTATTCACACTATATATACACTATGGTGTTCATGTGCCAAACATCAAGATATAAAATACTTTGGAGTTAATCTTGACGTCAGTTTTCTGCTTCAATCAACATTTACCTTTTAGGTCAATACATTTTAGTGCTTGCCATAACAGATGCTAGAATCGACATGCTTGTGCCTGTAATTATTCCATTTAACTCTTTCAGCATTTGAAATAAAGTTTTTAAGGAAAAGGCAAAACTAAATACAAGTGTGTAGTGGCTTTGCCTGGCCTTTTGCTCAGTTAAAATCAGAAAAATACTATTGCAGGGCTGTTATCTGGAAGAATCACCTTGTTCTTTGCCAGCACTGGCACAAAATATACAACAACATTGCCAGTAATATTAAATACCAGTAATAGCCCACCTGAATAGCCAGGAGACAAACATTCAGTTATTAAAAGTGATGGTACAGAATTGCCTCATTAAGCCCAGCAGCTCACTGTTTACAATGGGCTAGTGCCAGAAGAAGAACACAGTTTTATAGCTTTTATTGCTATTGTCTCAGTGCATTGAAGTATCTGTTTTCAGATAACCTACAAAAAAAGCCCCAATTTTAATCAACGTGAGGTATTTGAACTCTGTGGCCATCATTTGATCCAGCCCTGCTGAGATAAGTAGGAGAATGTATAGTTATTTGGTTGGTTGGTTTATGCAACAGGTAAACTTATTATACCCTGCTGCTCTTGCCAGCATTACCAGTGCTGGCTGGAGAGCTGGTGGAGAAAACATCTGCCTAGGGATGGATGACCTGTGTTACGAGTGCCACGAAGACTGGCAAACCATGACCATGGGTGCCAATGGCTTCCTCAGCACTGCCATCCCAGGGAATGATTTTGTGCCTCTAGACACCCAAGTTTAAAATGGGCTTAGGATAAGAAGAGTGTGCAGGAA